ACACACACACACACACACACACACACACACACACACACACACACACACCAATAACACAGATAAGACAAGGATTTCACTGCAAACAACCAAAACAGATGAGAACTTCTATGCAACATTAGTTTTTATTTTATTTTATTTCTTTGTAATTGAAGCGGAGCACATAAAGCTGTGGAAAAACGTGTCGGCACATGAATATTTTTTACATTAAGTTTGACTCATGTCAAACTTTTATTTTCTCGCCTTCTGAACTTGACGAGGAGGGAATGAAGTAAAAAAAAAAAAACTGGTTGTTTTAGTCAAACGTTCTGCTCCTGCTTATTGATGAGCATTGATCAAACCATTGTGTTTAGAAACAACAACAACAAAAAATTAAAATAAAAGAAACAGAAAAGCAGCAGAGTTCTGACCTTTGCTGTGATTGGTCGGGGAAAGGTTGGGGAGTTTCCACAGCAGTCTTCTCTCCTCAGCGTTCCTGAACGRACAAAGTGAAGCAGCTAATTATTCACCTGCTGCTTTAATATGATAGGAGTGAAATCCTAATATTCATGACTTTATTTTCTGTATTTATTATTACCCATCACATCAAATGTCAAAGTGGTGAAACAGGCAGTTGTGCACTGATTAAAACTGCTTTTTGTCAAAATAAGATGAATAAATACTTATCTATGGACCATCTGAATAAACTGTTTGAAATATAATCATTTTTTGTAGTAATTTTTTTAGCAGTAGCAACAAAAACAATGATTTTAACCAAAAAAAAGCCTTATATGTTTTTATATTTTCTCATTAGAATTAACTGGACTCAGAAAAATGTCAATGAATGATCCTGATTAAAAGATAAATTAAAGCTTATCTCTCAGGTATATCAAAATGTTTTTTCCCTTCTCGTTTTCAGTTTGGTTTTATTTATTTATTTATTTTATTTTTTTATCCATTAGTTATTTTCTTTGTACTGTGTTTTGTTATATGGATTGTATAGTGAGGTGTTCTGTTTTGTGTTTACTTGTAGGACAAGGGATGAAATTTAACTACTGTGCTAACTCTTGCATGTTTACACTGCCATGTATTGTGGTAATGTTAGTTAATGCGCACTGTCCTAATAAATAAATAAATGAATGAAATGAAAAAGAAACGTAGCTTAAAAAGCCCAGGGCTTCGACTCCTAAAGRACCGGATTGATTTGAGGTTTGTTGACATTTTCTGAGGAAGAGTGGTGCTTCCTGTCGTCCCCCCCGCTGCTCACCAGGAGGCGGGCGGCTGGCACTGCAGATCCGTGGYGCTGTGGTCCAGAGGCAGCAGCACCTGGACGGCGGTGAGCTGGGTGGACGGCGCCGTGGCGGGACAGCAGTGGTAGTCGAGGGAGACCCGGGTCACCGTGCCGCTCCGCTGGCACTCCGCCGACAGCAGGAGGGGAGCCCGACCCGGGTCCTGAGAGGACGTCTGAGGAGACGGGGAGGCTGAGGACGGGGGTTCCTGACTTCACACTTTCAAACACAACAAACGGAGCGTTCTGGAGATTTGCCCACCTGATACTTGAGCAGGCCGATGTTGTAGTACGAAGCCTGGGGGTTGAGCTGGGCTTCTCTCTGCAGGTGGAGCTGCAGAGCCTGCATGTTGAACCAGAAGTCTCTGGTGTCGGGGTCGCTCTGAGACGGGTCACTGAACGCGACAAAACCCAGAATGATTCCACGGCGCAGCCGGAGGCGGCGTTGTGAGGCGAGGAGCGGCGCTCACCTGTAGAGCAGCTTCTGATTGGGCAGGAAGTGATCCACCCTTGAGATGCTGACCAGCCTGAAGCTGAGCACGGGAACGTTGGGGTTGGCGGTGAAGATCCGGGTGATTCCAGCTGGGAAGGACATGGTGAGGTCTCCTGTGATCTTCACAAGACATCTGCAGACAGACAAAACATAAAAACAACGCTTATTATTTATTTGTTTACAATTTGTTCATTTAAAACAAAACATAAATTCAATTTACAGTAAAAATACTAATCATAAATTAAAGGTAGCAGAAGAAGAAAAACATCTGATTTCTGCCCCTTTTTCTCAAATAAATAAATTCAAACAAAAATAATCTTCAATTTACAAAAACGTACAAAAAACAAAAGAAAAACAATGAAGGTTTAATTCCTTCTTGAGCAACAATTCGTTCATTATAGCCATTCATATTTCTCCAACAAATTAACCTTTATTTTTCTCTTAAATAAACACATTGATCTGGCTTTTTTAACGTCATCTTCCAGATTATTCCATAATTTAATTCCCTGGATTGAAGTACTCCGTTCCTTCAAACTGGTTCTAACTTTAGGTCTCACAAACATTTCTGACCCCTTCAGATTATAACAACTCTCTTTTTTTAACAAAATCTAAATGGATGTTTGAAGGTAATGTGTTTTTATGAGCCCTATACATAACTGATAAAATACTATAATCAACCAAATCATAGGATTTCAATAACTTYAACTGATGGAACAATGAATCTGATGGGTGACTGTAATGTTTTCTGGTAATAATTCTTATAGCTTTGAAGGAAATTTTGTAACTGATAAATTGAATGTTAGATGCAGTATTGTATTTTATACTTTCAAGAGTTTATAGAAACCAGTACTTGAAAACGAACACTATAAAATGGTGTTGTGCTTTTAGAATCAGTAAGTAAATGACCAATACATTTCTTCAGCTCTTTTCTGTAAAATAAAAACAGGATGTTGTTGTTCTACAAGCTTTTCCCCAAACAACACAATAAATTAAGTGTGGCACAATTATTGCATTATACAACATWAACAGTGCTTTRTCATTAACGAAGTCCTTTACTTTGTATAATACTGCAATGGATTTGGCTGTTTTTGTTCTTAAATGATTTATGTGAGGTCTCCATGTTAGTTTTTCATTATGAACAACTATTTATCAAATAAGAGAATTTTTGTTAATGAACTTGACAGAATCCTGCTGACCGGTTGTGCTGTCCTCCTTTGAAGTAGGCGTTGATATATTCTGTTACTGCTGCCGCCACGGGCCAGGCGTCCTGCGTGCTGAGGGAAATGGGGCTGGGACCTCTGGACAGGTGCACTGAGGAGAACAGGTGAAAACGTCCAGTGGAAATGTTGCTGCAGAGGTTAGATTTTAAACTGATACACTACAGGACAAGAAGTGAAAGACTAGTTCAGGTTCATGTGGCTTACACGGCCTTTGCTGGTAGGGCAGCGGTGAGGCTTGACCCGCTCGGGCAGGGCTGGGCGCTCGGTTCTGCACCCCCCACTCGCTGGGGCTGGAGGAGGAGGAGGAGGACGTGAGGGAGGGGCTGGGCTCCGGCAGCGGGGAGGAACACAGCGATCGCGACTGAAAACAGAGACGAGTGACGAGCGCCGTCAGCATTGGGAGGAGTTCTGATCAGAGGCCGGGAAACCAAACGACGGACACTCACCCTCTCACAGCCGCCGAGTCGAGCGGAGGACCCTTTGGCTCGGGTCACTTTCTGAGGTACCGACGTGACGGCTTCAGAAGAGTCCGCTCTGTAGTTCAGTTTGGAACCTGGTGGAGACAGAAATCACAAACTGAAGCTCACTGACAGAACAAACAACAACATCATGTTCAGAGGAACTGAGACGAGCTGAGAGCACAAAACAAACAAACAGGCACCAAACGTCACAATTTGTTGTCTGAGTTGTTGATTCAACAGACATTTAACATCCTGCCGTCGACCAAAAAATCTGCAAATCCCAGACACGGTCGATCGTTTTCAATCAGTCTGTTTTCATTTCATCAGAGAACAAAACATGAAGGTTCTCTAACGAAGAACATTTAAAACAAAGTTAAGGTCTGGGGTCCGACTGTGGGTCATAAAACACAAACTCTGGGGTCATGAGATCATTTCCAGATGCTATGTTTATTTATTTAATTTACTTGTATTTATTTATTTAAATTTTTTTAATTTATTTTTTAGATAGATAGCTAGCTAGATAGCTAGATAGATAGCTAGCTAGATAGCTAGATAGATATCAGTCTATATTGATAATTACAGTTTTTTTTACCCATTTGAAAAAATGATCAGGAGAAAAAAGGCTGATTAATGCGGCCAAACTTTCCTCTTTTATCCACAATTTCCTCTCGAGCTGTTGCACTCATTTTCTCCTTCCACTCCCCGTCGTTYTTTTTTWWATTTTGAAGCAGTTACGAGGCGAAACATGAAACTGCGCACGTTACTCAGCAGGTTGTTGCTAGCTAACCATAGAGTGAGTTAGTTGATGCTACCAACCTCGCCTAAAGCCCTGTCACACTAGACCAGAGGTTCTCAAACTAGGGTCCCAGGACCCCCAGGGGTCCGCAAGCTATAACTTGGGGGTCCTCAAAAAAATTGTGAAAAACTGTTAATTTTGTTTGTCATTTAAAAAAAAAAACTTCATAAATGCATAAGGGGAACAACACACCAGTAAAATAAACTTACTCAACCAAATAAACAATAATTATTCTCATGACAATTAGGAGTTAAAATGGCAGTAAATCAGTTTTAAATCGGCATGAGGTTTATGATGGGGTCCCTGGAATATTTTCACTTCTATAAGGGGTCCTCAGACCCAATAAGTGAGAGAAACCTTGCACTAGACAACTTATGAAACATTTTTTATATCTAAATTGCTAATAAAAGTTGTATATTTGAACAGTTTGTTAGAATTACATTATGTACACGCTGATAAAAAGCTTCCTGTTGATTTTTTAAAATTCCATCTTTAATGTAGACGTCTTTAAAATGTTGATAAGTTGCCATGCAGGGCCTTTAGCTGGGCTGTGACAGGCTGAGCTGCTAAAGCCTTTCCTCTGCCTACAGTTCAGTGAAATTATCAACATTCGATTGGAAATTTATCCATTAATATTGATCTTATCTTATTGTGGTATATATTATTCCTGAATTACTGCCCAGCCCTAATAGTTGTTTACTGTAGATGGTGTTAAGTTTGTTTAACGGGCCTATTAACACACTTTGACTTGTTCAAATAAAGAATTTGGATCACAAACCATTAGTACTTTCTGGGTCCTGAGCTGAAGATTTTGTGAACCAATGATTTAAATTATAAAAAACAACTGATCACATTTATGAAAAGTATTTAAAAACTCCAAGTTCCTGCAGTGAATTCTAGTTTCTGTAACTATAAACAATAAGTACACTCATACAGAGGAGGAAATCACTTTGTACCCTTGTGAGCGCTCATGTTGCAGCTCATCTGAGTGTTCAGATCCAGACAGTCTTCATCTTTGTCTGTAGAGAAACACAGATCCTCCTGAGGTCCCGAGTGCCTGGTGAGGGGAGGGGCGTTCCTGCGTGGCTCGCTCTCTGATGACCGGTGTTTCCTCCTCTCTGCTCCTCCTTCAGATTTAACTCCCACTTCCTGTGAAGTGGAGCCAGCGCTCTCGTTGAACGGGTTGTGCGCAGAGTTCCAGTGCAGCGTCTCCTTCTTAGGCTGAGCCGTAGGTAAAGAGCTGGACCCTGCGTCGCCCCCGGGCCTGGCGCTGCCATGTGGAGGGATTGTTCCAGCTGCTGCAGCCAGCGAGGACTGGTGCGTCGGGCTGCCAATCATCGTGATCGCAAACGGGTCGTCGGTGGAGACGGGAGGCGGGAGGCTGCGGTCTCGCTTCCTGTCTCTGTCTTTGCGATTAGAGGAGGAGGATGAGGAGGAGGAAGAAGGGGCAGGCAGAGTCTTCGTGTCGGTGAGGGAGACCGAAAACGGGTCCCCGTGAATCTCCTTCCCTCTGAGCTCCTGGGCRTGGCGGGGCGGTGGGCGTGTCCAGGCGTCAGACAGGTTCAACACCTCCTGGGTGATGGACCTGTCAAACGCAGCGAGGAAGGGGTCCTCGGGGGGGATATGTTTGCAGTTCCACACTGACGACTCCACGTCAGGCGGGGGCAGCGTCTGAGGGAAAGCAGGGAACCGCACGGAGGAGGGGTCCGCCTCCAGGGGGACGCGTGACGGACGCGACCAGACGCCGGCGGACTCGACCTGCGGGTTGGAGCTGCGTCCGGAGGACGGCTCGTGGAACGCAGAGAGGAAAGGGTCCGCAGGTCGGCCCAGGGTCTGAGTCTGGYCTTTACTCTGAGACACGGGGGGCCAGGCTGCCCAGCCCACCAGCTCGGGGGACGGCCCAAGAGCCTGATGGGAGGGAGAGTCCAGGCCGGAGTCCTCAACGTTCTCCGGCGAGGAGGAGTCCGATGAGAAGGCAGCATCTGAGAAAGAAAATCAACATGTTAAACATGAGTCCGCAAAGGAAAAACCCTAACCAGAAAAACAAAAGTTCCAAAAAAGCAGAAATTGAAATCTCTCAAACTTTTCTTACATTCAGAGGCACCAAACATGTTCTGCTCTCTGAGCTGGTTCCGACTGTCGAAGCTTTTGGACTTGAAGGCCGACTCCAGCGGCGGTCCGAAAAGGCTGTCTGAACCCGACGCCGTTGAACTTAACCTGATGGAGACGGACCGAAACAGACAAAAAAACACAACAGAAACAAAGTCAGTGAGAGCTGAAGGTGCGAAAAAAGACAAAACAGGAAAACAGTGAGGTAAAAAAAAATGCAAAGAAAAAAGTGAAGAACATTTAAAAAAAAGGAACAGAACTGTCTGTAATGCATGAAAATAAATGTGTGTTTCTGCAGAGTCCATTTCACCTTTTATAGCTAAATGATGCAATAATGTTTTTATATTTTATTCAGAAAGATTTAATCTTTAATGTAAGGAACTTTGGGCACTCTGAACAAGTTGTTTTATTTTATTTAAAGCTTTCTGGTCTTGATTATGTTTAAAAACAAGTCAAAACAAACAATTTTTCTTATCCGAGCAAAAAAAGGMAATAACTATGAAACATAATGGAACGAGGACTAAATTTAAAGACCCTCAAAAATAAAATTAAAAATGCTGAAAGCTGAGAAACAATGGTTGAAAAGTCCTCTCTCAGCCACAGATATGAAGAGGGTGAAAAGTGATGAAGGGCAGACTGATCTCACCTGCTGTGATCCGGGCTGGAGGTGGACCTACGTAGGCTCTCCTGCTCTCCATCTGCAGAAACACAGCACATGGTCCTGATGAGGTAAAGTGACTCACCGCTGCCTAATCAGAGCTAATCAGCAGCACAGTGGTCTTCGATAGGGGGAGATAAGACGCCACGAGGGAAAAGCCCCAGCCAGCTCTGTGGCGGTGATAAATACGAGCCGTTAAGCCTGGCCTCGCTGAGCTCCAGCGGTCGTTTTTGCTGAGAGGAAGCATTAATCAGACGCTGCACATTAATCCTGCTGCTCCTGGATTTACGACAGAGACACTCYCGGATGCTGAACCATAGCCAGGAGGAGTCCTCCCATTTCTGCCCGACCTGCTGACAGCTAATGACCCTGGTGGTGATAACAGAGGCCTTGGAGCACGAGCAGAGAGTCGCCTGAGACTAATGGAGGGGGGCTGCTCGTGTAAGGTCAGCCGGTGAGGAGATTTAATGCCTACAGGAGGTTGAGTGGGCTGGAGTTTGTGACCGTGGGCCATAAAAAATGGCTGCGTGAGAATAAAAACTGCCCTTTCCCCCTATTAGGGATGAAGGACGGACACTTCAAACCTCTCAAAAGATGTTAAAGGGATCCCTGATTAGTTGTAACATTAGACTTTACTTAACATTTGTTTTGACTGTAAAATAAAGACTGTAAAATACTGTAGGCTGTTTAGTTTTTATAATTTTAAAACTGGAATTTTAAAAATATATTACACGGACGGGGCCATTTTATTTACACGCAAAGCATTCTGGGTAAATGATGACGTGGATAGGTCCTTGGTGCGAGGCTGCTAGCAAGCTATATCCACCCTGAAGGTTAGTTAATCTTGGACAATATCTGACGATCGACTCTTTTAAATGAAACCAGAGAGCGTTGACAGAGAGGAGAAGGTAGAAATGACTCAGTCTGTAACTGAAAATATGGATGGAGGACAACAGAGCTGCTTCGTGGAAGAAGAACCTCAGCTTAGCCTGTTAGCTTTAGCATTAGCCCCGACGCTATCACCATATATATGTATTAGCTCGGTGCTATACTGTATATTCTCCTCTCATCACTGAGGTCCTCCATCCACGACAGAGAGGGGAACACAAAAATGACTCAGCCTGCAACTGAAAATATGGATGGAGGACCTCAGTTTAGCTTGTTTGTCGTGCTAGCACCGAGCTAATACATATAAGGCAATATAGCGTCGGCGCTAGCTTGAAGGCTAACAGGTTAAGCTGAGGTTCTTCTTCCATGAAGCAGGGAATTTAGAGATGTAACTTTTATTCCCTTTCAATTCAGTTTGCAATTATTCTTAATGGTCACCGTGGTTGTAATTTGTTTTAAGAGCGATTTTGTGTATAAACAAACATATTTTCACCAATGAGATTTGTACGTGAAGTTACTGATATAACAGCTGTTGTTGCCTCATCGTCTGCAGTTTTGGGCTCATGGCTCACCTCGATGAGAGGAAGTCTCACTCTCCTCTAGTCGAACTCCTGCTGTGCTCGAGTTTCCTGCAAACACACAAATGAAGCTATCAGACGTGTGAAAACAAAGCTGCAGAGCTCATGTTAGAAATTTCACCTCCCGTAAACTCTTTTTATATCGGCCAGTTCATTTATTATTAATTTATATTTTAAAAAAACTAACATCTGCTGAACAAAGTGAAATTTGTTTTAAGGATACAATAAAGGGGAAAAAAAGTAAACCTACTGGAGAGATGCCACTTGACTGAAACCTGAAAATCAACAGAATGAAGCACAAAGTGTAATTATTCTGCATTTTGTTTTACTATCAGAGACAACAAATCACTAAAAAGAGAACAGACAAAGCATTTACCCATCTCTTAACATCATCTAAATGTGTTTTTCAGTTTGTACTAGAACGGTCCAAATCTTTTAAACAAATTCTTACAACGAACGATAGTCATTTATATTTTGTTTATTTCTTATTTTTATTATTTCTAGTAATATCTTTACTTTTTCATCCTTAACCACAGAGTCAATCGCTCCCGCTTTGCTTTTTCACAGGAAAAAGGCAGAGAGGTGGAGTACGGCAGCTCAGAGGGGAAAGGGGGAGGGGTTTCTGTTTGACAAAACACATGGTTCCACCCACATGACATGATGACATCATCACGTTTTTCACTACATGACGACGCTCCTTTGAAAAAGATCCAAGAGCAAAAGCTTCAAGCAGTTATTAGCCAAATCACCCAGATTTGGCTAATAAAAGCTTGAAGCTTTTATTTTGAAGGTGAATCCTAGCTTTTCCAGTGTTGTTTAGCTGAAAGGTATTACGTATTTTATCAGAAATTTATTAACGTTTAGCAGTTAAAGACCAGTRGAATTATCAGTTTTCTATTCATATTGAACACATGTCTATTGCGATGTACAGGGACAATGTAGACAATGTAGACAATGAGACTGAAACCCCTGGTTTTATACCATAACATCCCTTTCAGACAGCTTCCTCTTGCATCCACAGTTAATCCTGTTGGATGTGGTTGGTCCTTCTTGGTGGTATGCTGACATTACCCTGGATACCGTGGCTCTTGATACATCACAAAGACTTGCTATCTTGGTCAGAGATGCTCCAACAAGACGTGCACCAACAATTTGTCCTCTTTTGAACTCTGGTATGTCATCCGTAATGTTGTGTGCATTACAATATTTTGAGCCAAACAGTGCTCTTACCCTGCTAACTGAACCTTCACACTCTGCTCTTACTGGTGCAATGTGCAATTAATGAAGATTATCCACCAGGCTGGTCCAATTTAGCCATGAAACCTCCCACACTAAAATGACAGGTGTTTCAGTTTCATAAGCTGCGTTTCCATTGACCATGAAAATGCACAAATTAGAATATCGAAAATAAATTTGCTCAATGGAAACACGTCAATTTCGAAAGAAATTAAATTTTTCGACAAACAGTTTTTGCGTTAGGATGAGGTGGTTTTTCGGCTGTATCGAAATTGGTGTTTTTCGCAAAACTGCAATGGAAACACTTTTTTCGCATCACGGGAGTCAYGTGATCAACAACCGGCTGTTTCTACTGGCGAAAAAGACGACAACGAAAAAGATAACAGGAAKTACAAGTAGTAGTAATATCACAGAAGTAGTATAAAATAGTAAACTCACCAACTACAATTTCCCAAAAACACAGCATACGTAGCAAGTAGGGACTTGTCGCTAGAGGAGCGACAAGTCCCTGAGCGCTGGATGAGCGCTAGTGTCGCGGTAGCAACATGCTATGTGTTTACATCCGTCGCCACCATGTTTGTAATGACTTATTGCGAGAACAACGTATTCATGCGTGACTTTAATAGCATTTCTTACTTAATGGAAACACCACAGTTGCGAAACTGTGCTTTTTCGACATTAACAGAATATCGACAAAGTTTTGAGCACATTTGCAATGGAAACACAGCTATTGTCTAACCCCTGTACGTTGTTATTGAATTATCGCCCAGCTCTATATTTATCCCATCTCTTTTTATTTATTTATTTTATTTATCATTATTTAACCAGGCAAGTCCCATTGAGATCTCAGATCTCTTTTTCAAGGGCGGCCTGGGCCTGGAGGCAACCTATTGTACATGTTTTTAGGGGGGGGGGGGAACCGGAGTACCCGGAGAAAACCCACGCAAGCACGAGGAGAACATGCAAACTCCGCACAGAAAGACCTCAGGTCCGAACTGGGGATCGAACCCAGGACCTTCTTGCTGTGGGGCGTCGGTGCTAACCACTGAGCCGTCGTGCTGCCATATTTATCCCATCTCTAGTTTGTACAATCTTCTTTTCTGTCTTTTTATAGGATTTGTCAATCTGAAGCCAGGTTTATAGCTAACACAATGAACATAGTGCAAAGGTGCGCATGGAACAGTGACACAGTTGCACCGTCCCAGCCCCTGTGAGTGGATGAGCATAGGCTACATGCCCCGCGCTCCATTCAAATACTTTGTCCATCAGGCATTTGCTCTCCTTTATAAAGCCTTTCAATAGTTATGAAGTGTACCGCCAGAGAACACCACACCAACGTAAGCGTCAAGTATAAAYGCACCATCAACCCTGTGCAACAAGTGCCACCATAACCGAGCCTTCAGACTTAAAGAGCATGGAACCACCTGCTGCCGTGCTCCTCTGTTGGGCGGCAGAGTGAGCGCCCCCACGGTGGCTTTCAGCTCCTTCTCTGTGGCAACAGAGCTGCTACGATTGTTGCCGGCCACCGGCCTGATTTTGATGTGAAACTTCTTGGGCTCCTCGTCGTCGAAGTCTGAATCGCTGGAGTAGAAGTTGTTCTCCTTTTCTTCAGCGCAGCGTACGGGAAGAGAGAGGGGTCAAGGGAAACACATTTCAACTGAGTTTGCAAACGGTTTTCAGAAAAAAAAACTATATGGAAGAAGTGACAAATTTTACAAGTTAGCCCAGGTGATCCAGTCATCTGATTAGGACTCCTACTGGGCACCTCCCTCTGGAGGTTTTCCAGGTACGTCCTACTGGGAGGAGACTCTGGAGCAAGCCCCAGAACTCACTGGAGGGATTATGGAACCTTTCTGGTCTGGGAACACCTTGGAGTCCCTCCAGGAGGAGCTGGAGAGGGATGTTTGAGTTTCCCTCCTGGACCTTCAGACTCTGACCTGATCACCAGTAAGTGACACAAAACTGACAGTGAAATACCTCAAATGATGAGTTCGAACAATAAATTATCTATTTGTTAACTCGGTCCAGAAATAAATTTGTTCACAAATCAACTAAGACAGGTGAAGCAGACAGACAAAGGATATCATTCTGGGTGCTGTCAGCTCGGATGACGAAGCCCTCATCGTCCACTTCCAGAGGTGAATTCTGCAGAAATGAGAATATGAGCACAGGCAGGAGAGTGAAAGTGAGGCAGACGGCGGCTGGGTCAGCAGCACAGAAACAAGTGGTGCATGGCTGACACTCAGAAGTGCTCCGTCACACTCGGTTAGTGTTTACTGAGAGCTTTCCATTAGAGTGATCGAGTGAATAAATACACCCAACAAATGTCAAACATGGCTTGCAGAGTCAGTCATTTTTACAATAACTGTAGGTTCAACAAGAGCTCAGACATGGCTGGGCCCCAGAGCTATTTGTGGACTTTAAATTGGATTTAAATTATTGAATCAATTCAGGGTTAAGAGGGCAGTGCTTAAAAAAATAAACCCAAAAAGTCAGCCAATATATGACTCACATGGGGCTTTATTGACTTACTTCAGTATATTTAAGTAAACAAATTTAGTTTAGTGAGTAAATCTGACGACTTCACTCTGAACAAAACTGTCTGGAAAAGGTCATAAAGGGTGTTGTGGTAGGTCATCCTCATGGTATTTGTCAATAAATATAAAAAGAAACGCATTTTTCCTTTAAAACAAAACGGATTACTCATGTTTGTCCATTTCCAAATAATAAAAACAAAATGTGTACATTTAAGCTMAAAAAACTTACATTTTATTGTTTCCAGTGTCTTACAGCCAATCAAAATAACAAATCTATGATTGTAGATTTGACTGTTTGTAAACCAAATGGTGAAGACACCATGTAAAAGTATGAAAATAATTACAGAGTTTATCATAAAATGATTTTCTCATCAGTCTGACAGATGGTTTTTTTTGGGGCAACGGCCATCGCCCTTTCACACACAACGCACACGCACACCCTCACTGCTCTTGCAAAGTGCGGCGCGTACAAACACACCTACACACATTCACCGAGCTTCCCTTGTGCCTGGAAGATAATCTCAGACACGTCTTCTCAGAAGTACAGGAATAAACTTGGGAAACCCCCACACCATCCATCACATCATTATCACACACTTATAACCTTCCTACTTCCATCCCACAGACAAAAAAAAMCCCACACTTTTTGAATCGAGCATCAGCCTTCACAACATTCATGTCGATATATTTATCTGGTATTTAGAAGTAAAACTGATTAATGAGCAGGTGGTTTTTGAGCTTGTGTCAAATACCTACCAGTGCGTCTGCGACAGCTGAATCTCTGCAAATACAGAAAGGAAAAAAAAAAAACATACAGGGGAGTTATTTTAACTTAGAAATAAAATAGTAGCAAAAAAATAAAATAATATCCCAAGAGGAAAATAGCACAGCCAATTTAAGAGTGTTTGCCTGCACTGTGCTAGTTTTCAGGGGTCGGATTTATAAAACTGGCGTACGCACAATTTGAGCCCAGAAACTTGCGTACGCCACTTTTTACGCCAAGGTTGTGATTTATAAAATCCAAACTTGACGTGAAAATGTGCAGTGCCTCACGCCAGCTCTGACCCATGCGTACGCTCATTTTGGAGACGTGAAACTGCGACACAGATGGTGAAGTGAAGAATTAGAGCCACACTGTGTAATGATCACTGTCAGATATTTAATTTACCTTCATCAGACTTAGATTTTTATTCAACTTTATCATCAGCTTTCTTAACAGTAATATTTATGCTTCTGCTGCTGAGCCACGAGGACCTTTGAAATAAAAAAAAAAACTTAAATCTTAAATAAAAATTCCCGTGCGCAAATCTCAGACAGCAAAAGGCACGCTTTGGATACACGCGCAGGGCGCATCACCTCGCCAGTGTTTGTCACGCGCCGGGGGGGGGGTGCGTGTGTGCGCGCGCGCGGGGCGGGGGTGTCTGCCGCGGATAGCAGAGCAGGCAGGAGGGGGAGAGGACGAGGAGAATAGCGGTGGACTTATTTCTAATTTTATCTGACTTATTTAATTTTATTTTTATTGTTTTTATCGTCCTGCAGGCTCTGAGGGAAAATTAATTTGAAGCTGAGGTTTTTTTATTAATAAAAATTGTTAGATTACTCTAAAGCAAAATGAGGGAAAATCTGTGTCAATTACAGACAATYTGTTCACGTGAGCAGCTGTCAGTCAGCACCTGTCAACCTCCAGACGCACGACGGAGMGTGTCTGAACCAATCACTTYTGTTGGCATTGATCATCTGACTGATTTAAATACATCTTAACATTCATGAGGTACTTTGCATTGACTGTTTATGGCTGAGTGTGGGCGTGTAGAGGGTAGAACCTGAGGCGGGACCTCGTGCGCAAATTCTGACGTGCGGCTGTGATTTATAAAGGAAAGATGCGCAGAAACATGCGTACGCATGGTTTTATAAATCTGAATTTTTTTTTGGCGTACGCCATTTCCGCCTTTTGGCCGTACGTTCACTTTTAGTATGGTTTCCACGCAATCCTTTATAAATGAGACCCCTGATCTTTATTTGGTCTGACAGACTTTGTGTGATCATAAAAAAGATGCATTCATGATTAATTTGATGCTTCTTTTAGACAAAATACACCTTTAACTAGACATGTTTCATAAGGAAGACACATAGTGGGAATTTAGAGCTGGAAAGTAAATATGTGACCCATCAAATCGAAACGAGGATTAAGTCCAAAAGTGGAATGTGGAGAAATATGTAGATATAGGGTTTTGATTTAAACATGTGCAAAAATTGCATTTGGTCAAAATATAATGAATATTAATTCATTATATTTCTTATCAATGTATCATTTGAATGAACTGTCTGAAATATAATCCAAAAAAAATTTTGAAGCATTTTTTTGAGCAGTAACAACAAAAAACCTGATCTTGAGGAAAAAAAAAAAAACGCATAAAATTTTTGAAATTTTCCCTGTGAGCTAGCAATGTTTTTTTTTCTTTTCAACTGGGAAATCTTAACATACAAATAATATTTGAGGTTTCCTTTTTATATTGACATAAAGATTACTCAATAAATTTACATAAAATTAGGATTCAGGCCAAACAATAATGTGTTATCATAACCAACAAGACAAACTAAGTCATGTCTCTGGAAAAGCTTAGGATATCAGAATGATCCAGGTATCAAAATGTAGCTTCTAAAGCCACAAATCTGAAAATATAATTAGGTCATTTTGTCCAAATTTGACTTGATCCTCATTCTGATATGATGGGTGACATAATAACCTAAACTGCAAGTGAATGCACAGATCTCTTTATTTTTAGATTGTTTTAAAATACCTGCAAAGATTCAGTTTATTTTATCCAAAGCATTTCAAACATGAGCAGCTCTAATGTTACTGCTGTGATCCAGCAAAGGTTAAAAGAGACCTGCTAGTCAAAACTTCAGGCTCAAACTTATTAAAGCTGTTTGTGTTAAGATTAGGATTAACACTCACGTAGAGTCCGGCTCCTTGTCCCTCTTGCCGAGTCCGGGGATTCTGAAGGCTTTAGTTCGAGTCTTTTTCCCACCTTCAGGAGTCAAAGTTGTCATGAAATCCTCAAACCCAACCAGAGCTGCAGACAGCATGAGGTGCAAAATAAACACACAGAGAACTTCATTTATGAAATATTCAGCATCTCAAATGCTGTTTTATAGGTTTCTGTTGTACCTGGCCGGTCTTTGCCCGTGCCTTTCAGTTCTGCGAATTTCTGAATCAGAGTATCGATGCCGATGTTTTCCACATTCTGCTTAAACTCCTCATGGACCTGCGGGTCAGAAGAATAGAACAGTGTATTAGAGCTTTATTAGCTACACTCATAAATTCAATTTGTGCTAATGTAGCAGCTGAGTCCAACTGAGTGTTAGGTTGCAATCTGGTTTAAAAACAAAATCACAAAACACATTTTGCTGAGCTCAAGTTGTACTTAAAAATAACCCCAGAAGACAATGGAGTCATTACTGTGATAAGAAATTAAACTAAACCTTCGGTTAATAACAATTAATCACTGACAAGTTAACTCTGAAAACTCCATCCCGTGTTTAAGAAAAACATGATCAGAATAGGAAGCCAGAATAATTTAGCAGAAAACTAATCTTTATTGTTCAGCTGTGGCTCCATTTCAGTGTTAAAAGCCTGTGTCTGTTTGAGGCCTTGTGTTCTTATCTGAATCATAATAATAACAAAGTCCTCTCACAGGCCGGCGTCTATTACAGGCTGCCCTTTAAAGAGATCTCCTCTTCTAAAGACGTGTAAATCTAAACATTAAGGTCACACCCTGGGGGGCGGCACCTTTTACATAATCCTAAACAAGCTTTGTTTATGTTACGGAGTGGGACACATTAAAGCAAGGGCTATAATTGATCACAAAATGTAAAACATAAGACTGGATCTAAAATTAGAAAATTAGATACAAAATTTCTTTCATGTTCATATGAAAAAACTGACAGAAACAACAATATAACTGAACAAATACTTTGTTTGGAAGGAAGTGGGCCATCATCAAGGCAGATTTTAGGGTCCGACTCACCTGTCCCACCTGGACATGGGTGTCCTCTATGGAGTGGGAGTAACTTTTAATCAGCTGTTTCATCTGTCGCAAATGAGCCTCCTCGATTTCTTGAAACCTCTACACAAGCAGAGACATTGTCACGATCAAACGCACATGAAGAAAACAAACTTTCTGTAGAATATGAAATCCTCTACAGGCTAAATGGGCAAATTAAACTATTTCAAAACCACTAAATGACATCAAACTATCAGTTTAACAACATAAATGCCTTTAGTAGTGTCATATCATCAGTGCTGTCTCTGTTCCTCATTTCATCTACATTAGATTTTATTTTTGCACTAAAAAACTGTTTCCAAAAATGCTTTTACACTTGCCTGGTTTAAACGTGACAACAGCAACTGTGAACTGAGCCGTTTCAGTTTCCTTACAAACGGACAGAATAGTACACTTTTAACAGGGTTCCTACAGCTTAACGCTAGTGAAATTTAAGACTTTTTAAGACCTAATTAATGCCACTGATAATGAAATTAGACCAACTTTACAACAAAATACAAAAGGAAAAAACCAAGTTAGCAACAATTTTAGCCAAATATTTATTTTGAAACAAAACTAGCTGTAAGAGACATTCAGTCAATTATTTTGAAAAACAAATAAAAGTTACCTAATTATTGTAATATTTGAGATGAATTAGTCATCCTACGTTCAATGTGTTAACATTTTTAAGACCTCTGAAAGATTGATTTAAGACATTTCAAGGCCAATGAAGCCTTGATCAATCCAATGCTTTTCAAGACTTTTTAAGGATGTGCAGGAACCCTGTTTAAGTCCAGAAATTTGCCCATTAGAGCAAAAGATACTAATGAAAACAAAACTTTTCTGATACTTTTCAAAAGAAGGGGCAGGACATTTAACCCCTGAAGCTCTGATTTCTAATGACATTTCTCTTAAGCATTTATATTTCAGCAGGTTTTGGTTGCATGMAGGCAAAAAGCCCTTGAGGAAGGAAATGGCTAAATTCATTCAAAGATAATCACAAGAACATCCGCCACAGTGATAAATTAACGTTTTAATAGCGTCACAAAAGTTCATCCAAATTTGCATGTGACAAAACGAGACATTAAAAAGAAACATTGGTTTTTGGGGGAGCGATTCTTTGTGTCTTGGGGGGATTTAGACAGCTAAAGCTTTTTTCTTCTATCATATAGACTGAAAACCCTTTCATTGGTTTGCACAAAGGAGCGTTATCGCAGATCCTTTCTCCCAGCAGCTGTCAGACTCTTTAACCAGCACCACACCCAAAAATCACAATGTTTACAAAAACCACAATAAGTGTTTACAAAAATCACAATAAGTGTTTAAACACCTGCTTCTGCCCACATAACTATTTGTACTGTTACTGTTCATTGTCATTACTCATCTGAACAATCATTTTGCACTACTCCTTTATATTACTAATCAGAGCAACCACCTGCTCTCTTATTACCCATTTACTTTGAAAATAATTCTGCTGTAAATGCACATCTGTTTTTCTTGTCTGCACTGTGATACTCTACAGTTATTAGTCTGTCGAGATTGTTTTGCACTGAAAACAGGCAAACTCCGATTCCTAATGTCAGATTCTGATAGTCTGTCTCGAAAATAAAACATCTTTTTTTTATTCTTGCACAATTCTTTATATTATATTTTTATTAGTAGTAGACGTATCATGGCTAGTTAGTGTTAATTTTTTTTTTGTGCATTGTCTATAGTTTGTAAAGTAACTAGTGTGTGAACCTCTGTACTGATGCTACTGTGACACCTGAATTTCCCCACTGCGGGACAAAAAAGGCTATTTCTATTCTATTCTATTCTATTCTATTCTATTCTATTCTATTCTATTCTATTCATGACAGGGAACTCTTACAGTATTTTTATTTTTGCTCGAGTTGTTTGCAAATATTAATAAGTACAGACATTTGTGTGCTACCTGATTTGTTTCCAGTCTTTACCATAAACTAAACTAGTGTTTTTCTCTCATAGTTCAAATCTTCTGACCTTATTAAAAACTAAATGATTGTGTTTTCGTTCAACCAAGAAGAACCTTGATCGCTTTCTTTTTTTTTTTTGTAGTACCTGGGAGATCAATTTACTCTCCCAGGTACCAGACACTCCTCCATAATTAAGACCCGACCTTCCCCTTMAGAGCTATAACAGCAGATAATTGGTCCTGAGGATTCCGTTCATCATTTCAAATATAAAAACACAGAAGCGCTCGTTGGGATTTGTTAAATATTTCCATGGTAACAGCGGCTGTAGCCATGGCAGCATGGAGGCAGTGATTAAAGGTAATGAGCAGGTTGCAGCATGCATGTGGAAATGGGTGGGTGCTCAGAAGTCAGGGGGTTGAGGTTTCCTTTATTAGGGATGGTGTGGTGTTAGATAATAAATGAAAAGATACGAGGGGGTTTTCTTCAGGTGGGAGGGTGAGTCAGAAAAAGATGAAGCAGATAAAGATTCACATTTAAAACGTCACATCAAAGGGTGGAAGAGACAGCAAATACATATATATACACACACACACACACACACACACACACACACACACACACACACACA